CACCAAAACATTCCCTTCATCTGTGAGTTCTCCCAAACCGTTGCCCTTTTATTTGCCAGTCTCCATAAATGTTGATGTTTATTTAAAGAGAAATGTTGACATGTAATTCTATGTTTGGTACTTCTGTTTTTCATGTGTTCTTTCTTTTGTCCACAGTGTGTTTCTGACATAGTGGAGGTTCTTTTTTTTAATAAGAATATATGTTAAAATGCATCTACACACATGTATGAGCTAGCAGGCCCAAGAGTATAACATAATTTTGTGGTGGGTGTTACAGGCATTACATAACTGCAGGACCTTAAATCAGCTATTTGAAATGCCGGCACTAATGGTGGTTATTGTTGTTACTGTATGTTTCTAAGCTGCATTTTCCAGATCATTTGAAAGGCAGTGCATGAATACAATGACATTCTATTGTGAAATCTGAATTTATGTACACTCCCTCTTTTCAGTAAATTCGGCTTGTTCAGAAGGCTTTGATGCTGCTGTTGCTGCCACTAAAAACATACTATTGTCATACACTCATTGTCTCAGGGCCAGAAAATTTCTCGCAGAACAGTGCAACCTCTGTTTATGAACCATTAATTTAATTAGTTGTAATGATTATTATTAGTAGATGATTGTTTCAGAGGAGACAGATTGACAGATCTGGTTTTTTGCCAAGTTACTCACAAAATGTACTTTTAATTAGCATCAGCTTTAACTAGCTTCCGTATTGCACTGAATGACACTTGTTTTTGGAATTGGCCAAGCTAAACATTGGCTAAACATGTGAAGCTGCTGCATGTATCTGAGCATTTTGATCTGTTAGCCAGTCTTAGCTAATGAGAAAGATTACAGAATGGTTACATATTCATTACCACTTAGCAAATCTGGGTATTTTGACAGCACTTGCACTGATACTTTATCACATTTGCACACCCTTCTGCACAGTTTGCAAACATGCACATGGTGTAACGTGTTAATCTCTATACCATATGGCACCAGCAAATGCAAAAAATTCTATGATTTCATTAAGCAGCAGTGTTACACTGAATTATCTTATGCACCTTTACATCAGTATACATTTTGGAGACAGTTGTTGAAATAATAAAGTATCATATATCACTGTTGATTCATGTTTGGAGATACACTGTAGCTGCTCATTGCACAATTTGCTGGCTGTGGTAGACATGGCGTCTATTTATAGAAGCAGGGATCTAGACCGACTGTAACTCGGTACTGAATAGAAAGAGAGGATGGTGGGTGGCATGAACTGGTATTAGTGGGGCTGTCTGTGTGTGGGGTTATCTAGCATGTCTGCATAAAGATTGTGCATGTGTGGAGGGGAGTAGACAACACAACAGATAAAGAGAAAAGGGGAGGATGGAGAGTGAAGTTGATGTAATTCAGCCTGTGGCAGCTACTACAATGCGGGTCTGTTAGAGCAGGTCGGCATTTGCTGCACAGCTGACTGTGCTTCAAAATGTACCAGACGGAATGTACATTTAGTAGTTCTTTTGTGTTTATTTTCCCTGCTAAATCAATTGTTATTAGGTACATCTAGTTATACTGTACATCTTAGTGTTACTGTGTTACTGTTATGATAGATAGATAGATAGATAGATAGATAGATAGATAGATAGATAGATAGATAGATAGATAGATGTGGCTTGGAAGGTACAGAGGTCGTCCCCAAACCGGAAAGTTGGTGATTCGATTCCTGTTCTATCCAGTCTACATGTCAAAGTGTTCTTGGGCAAGGCACTGAACCCCAAGCTGCTTCCAAGTTGCACCGCAGATGGCTGCCTGCAGACAAATTCCTTGTGTGTGTAACACACCTGGCCAATAAAAGTGATTATCATTATCATAGATAGATGGAAGAATGGGAGAATAGGGTCACACACATATACTCACATTTACACAAACACATTAAAAGAGGAGGGGAAAGGCTTCATGGCATTGGCCTTAAAATATGTATGAGCTGCTCAGAGATTCACCAGAGTAAATGTGTTTCTCATCCAATTCTTGACCATCTTGTTTGTATAAGGGGAGTGTCTCTGCTGACACCAGAACCAGGGTAGAGAACATAAGATGGCCTGGTGGCAAGACCTGGAGGATGATGTGTGTCTGGCCAAGTTTTTCTTTAGATAGGTGTGTCTTCCCTATGTGTGTGCATGGTCCTTACATATGAATCTTTCTGTGCATAAATGTCGCAACCCAGTCTTTTCACTTTTTGTAGGGTCAAAATCATTTGCTGATGCATTTTGGTTGGTTAATAAAAGCCCTTCCTTGAGTATCATAGTCAGTAAGAGCAGTGTTTTGAGTGTTAGTTTAAAACAACAGTGCCAGTATCATCTCCAGCTCTCTTCACTGCCAGTCTCATTTGCTGCCTAACGGTCTGGATAAATACTTGACCTTCCCCATTGTCCTTTTAAATAAAAAGGGGTAATGGGGAAGGCAAGGGATTCTACAGCCGGGTGAAGGCATGTGTCCCTCTGCACACTTTGTCTCACCTACTTTTTTGTAAGTCATATATTTATTCATTTTAAAACAGAACAAACATAACATAAGAACTCAAGAAATTAACAAAGACTTATTTAAACTCCCCTCCCACCACAGCCTCCTCTTCCCACCCTTCTCTGTCCATGGAATAGACAAATCCAAGGTAAAATGGTTGAAACAAAAGCGTTCAGTCAAGAGGGTCTATGAGAAGGCAGTGAAGAGTATTTCACTGATCTTATAATGTCCATCCAGAACTCAGTCATTTCAGAAGAATATGCATTTATCCTGGTAGCCAAAAGTTCCTGATATAGAACCTCCAGTAACTTGTTATGCCATGACCGTGCTGTCAAACTGTGTGTAAGAGTCCAGGACTGAGCAGAAGGCTTTTTGGCTACTGACAGGCTGGTTAGCCATACTTTAGTATCTCACCTACCTTTGAACGTCCTAAAATGTAGTCACTCCTTTCTTCAAGTGCCACCCCAACGCCCTGCTTCATGCAAGAACATGGCAGATCTCAGAAGAAAATTGAAATCTCATCATTCTGAAATAACTTAACTATAAAATGCATGTGGATAAGTATTGGTGCTTGAGTTCATGGTGCACATCTTAATGTTTCAAATCCGTGCTGTCATGACCACATAATAAAAGGTACATTTATTCATTCATTCATTTATCTGAATAGTTTTTAAAACTCAAACATTATAAAGCTGCAGATTTCTTTCATTTGGCTGAAGTACTTGGAGGAGCTCTTGTGTGCGACATGTTTTTTGGGGTTGTTTGATGGAGTTCAGTTTCAGTTCATTCCACTTCAATTTGAGGTGTGAAGAGCCCTCGTAAAAGAGAATTAGATCAAGACGCATTACAGCATTCACAATGCTATATAATGAACAATAATGCAATCCAAGATTTCTAATTAGTGCTTGCTGCACCTGTTTCCATGGCTTATTATCACTTGTTATGGGACCATAGTCATAGCTCAGAAGGTTCCAACTCCGCCTGTTAGGAGGTTCAGTGGTCCCCATGTGTCCCCACAGTGTTAGCATGTAAACAGGTTTCAGTCCCCACAGTGTGAATAATACCAGCCACACAGACATGACATAAGACTGTCCTCTGGTTATTGTGTTTGTGTGTGTGTTATTTCTCATTTTCCTCTGTCAAGTCTAATCACCTCTGACTTATCTAATTCCCTGTGTTTTATAACCATTTCATTCATTCACAGTCTCTCAAATTATTTTGCGACAGCACAAAATTCCTGTTACAACAATTCAGACAGACAAACAAAGGTGTTTGCTGGTGATTGGTCGGGAGGGGTCTGACAACAATGGGTGATATGAACAAACAAGTCACTAAAGTGACTTCATAGTGGCTTTAGAACTGGCGGTTGATTATTAACTGACTTCTGAGTTCTGTGAAAGATCTTAAAGATGAAACATTGCATCTTTTCAGTTCTTTTTATCATGGTTATTGGCCTAATGGGTGTTTTTACAGCACATTTTCAGATGCTTTCATTACCAATAAAATTGACCAGGTTTAGTCAATGTAGAGGTACATGGTGTGCTGTTACCTGCAGGAATAAGTTGCATCTATTATTTTGATGAAAGGCCCTGCACCGCCACTGTGGTGGTTTCAGTTGTGTCTGATTAGACCTCTGCTCAGGCAGGAGGTGACAGGAGCTTTGCTGAGGGTTACATTAGGTCCAGACTGCATGTTTAAATAGTAATGGGAACTCAAATGTTAGCATACTTTAGAAAAGCAGCGCTTCAGTTTCTCCCGAGGGTGTTAATCAATAAAAAAAAAAAAAAAGATCTGATATTTGAACATATTCATTTTTATCTGGGACATTATTACATTGCTTCAAACTGCATTTTCTCATACAGTACTGCAATTTGCTGGAGAAACAGTAAGACTATGTGCTAACATTTCCATTGAACACTGATGATGTCCATTTTTCTGCATCCCTCCAGAGCAGATTACTGTAAGTGAGGCACTGCTGGGAAATTTAACATGACTAATGGCCGACAGCTGCAGTGCACACAACGCATCTCAGAGTGGGAGTGTCAGGGAGATTATTGTTTAGCCTTGTCAGGCCTTAGCATATGAATGTTGAAGCTAATTCACTCTAAGTTCAGTTCAGATCAGCATTAACAGAAGCTATAGTTTCTCTCCAAGCTACACAGTGTGATTGGAGTGTTGGCCTTTTAAAGGGTTTGAAGGTTTTGAATCTCAATAACCTTTCAGTTCATTGACATTCTGATGAATCTTTGAAGTGTTCAAAAATGTTATAGTATAGTAGTAGTAAGTGGTAATAGTGGACTAGAACAGTATAAGTAAACAATCTCTTTTTTGCTTTTAATACAATTAAAGACCAATTAAAGGCTCAATTCACCAGACTACACAATGTTACTGGGGCAGGCAAAATCATTAAATGATAGAACTCATTCTATTACCCTAGCAATATTTATAAAAATTTTTTTGTGATTGTTGTTGTTGAATAAAAATGTGTTTTTCCCTTGCAGACCGTGCGGCACGGTTTCCCTTACCAGTCCACTGCTTTGGCCTTTGACCCCGTGCAGAAGATCCTGGCTATCGGCTCAAGATCAGGCGGTGTACGAATGTATCCTTTATTCCTCATCAACTCACCTCCTCCCTTCCTCTAGACACACATACAGAATGATATATAAATATATATTAGTGTAAAACTTCACTGCTAATATATTTGCTTTTGCCATTTTCTATTTTTTGACTATAAAAATAGAATACTAGGGAAATATAATCTATTAAAGTAAACATTATATGATTGTCTTGCGCTCTGATTTTTTTTTTTTTTGCTCTGATTTTTTTTTTTTTTTTGATAATGGAAGAAATAAGAAAGATATTACATTTTACAACTGTTTTACAAGATAAAAGTTTTTTTTTTTAAATCTCATATATATTCTACAATTGAGAACAAAAGTACACTTGCAATTCACAATACACCAATTGAATGAAAGTAGCATCAGGAGGAATCAGGAGGACATTGTTCACAGAAACAGTGTATGTACTCCCACACAAACCTTTAGCACTGTCTCAGCGGCCTCCTTTCCTCCCCCCTCCCTCCACCTCCTTTAATTCTTATCCCTCTTTCCGCCCTGTTATTTCATGTTGCTCGGCTGTCACGTTGCAGGCTCAGAGCTGTCCATCCACCAGTACCATCCCCTGGGTCACCCAGTCACAGGAATGCAACTCAGGTATGAGATTACACTATAAATATCCAGGCTTCCCAGTATCCTGTTAGGGAAGCTTGGACATGGGCAGTAAAGAATTACTGATGCTTCAGAAACTGCACTGTTGGCCCTCCTGGGGTAATAAGTGGACAGACTGAGTGATTTCAGTGTGGAAAAAAAAACAAAGAAAAAAGAGAAGGGGATGCCTTTTTGAATATTTGAAGAAAGGGGAAAATGGAGAATAGGCTGAGTGAAGAAGATGAATGGTGGCGTTTGATGACATGGGGAATAGCTGATGAGAAGAAAAGTGTAGCTTGATTACGTGATAAGCTCAGTCAAATGTAGATATTTGACATTCATTACTTCTCCCTCTCTCTTAATCCATTGCTTTCTCTGTATCACTCTAATGAGTGCCTGGCTAGGAAGCAGGGCTGGGATTTGAGCTGGATGGAAGCCCTCGAGTGACTTAGCATTTGTATTGGCATGCTGCACACACCTTCCTCGTCTCTCCTGTGGCCTGTCCACGACTCTCTCTCTCTCTCTTTCTCTCTTTCTCAGTTGCATGCTCTCACATACACCAACATTCTCTCTTTTGTTGCTTCTCACTCTGCCTCACCTTCCATGGCTTTCTGTCTAGAGGATTTTTTCCTCCTATTTCTGCTTTTATTTAGTCAATTCACCCTTCCTGCGTCCTTCACAGCCTGTCTGAATGGTCTTCCTTTTCTTCCTGTGGCTTTGAACATCCACCTGTCATCTTTTGTCATGGTCTCTCTTAGTTTTTTCCTCTATTTCAATGTGTTTCTCTGCTCTGTGTTCTTTCCATTATAGTTGCATTAGTGCTGTATATATTGGCAGCCACTGCAGGAATTTCTCATGCTCCATTTCTATTCCATAAGTGGTGCAATAGCAAATCTAGCCTTTTGATTTTATTCTGCATCAAGCAACACTATACTGTAGTTATTCTGCACACACGACCTATTCTTCACAATTTCACCAGAGTTAAATTTTTCTCACCCAGTCTCTCCAGGGTGATGCAGCATGTAAAAACAAGCAATATAAAGATAGCACTCTGTCTGTATCTCCTCTGTGTATCTGCTGTCACTGAGCTGCTGCTTTCTACTGTAGAAACACGTCATTATATGTCAGGATTATATGTCAGGATTATATGTTATGTAAATAAATCTGTTTTGATTTCCTGGGGCTTAAAGTTAAACATTCAGATGGTGCTATTGATCGACTGAGTGGGGTTGCGGTTATGTGGGCTCGCTGTGGGAGGTGTCTTTTTTCAGTGTGGTGTGTAGGCATGAGTGTCTCCTCAGTGGTTAAGTGTGTGTTTGTGTGCATCAGAAAAGGCAGAATAGTGGTCAATATATCTGAGTTTCCATGGAGTCTGGCCGCTTTGTCAGAAAACATGCTGTCTCCTTCTGCACATCCAGTGGAAACAATAGGATTATATATTCTTCACAGGACATGCACATAATAACCTGCTAGTTCCAGTTGAGGGTGTTGATCAGTGAATAAAACATTTTCTACTGCAGTGATTTCTCTGGTGAAGTGAGCTGTATTCAACTACTCTGAGATACAGGATGCCCATTCTAAACATGTCTAAATCTTCTAGGCTGTCTGCTTTCCAAGCAGACATCGGAAGCAGTATGTGTCACCTTTCTTTTGTGATATAATTAGGCAGTCAATTCATACTCCAAGGATTTAAGAGAGAAGTGTTTTGTCAGACTAAGGTCTATGCTGATCATGATCACACGCTGACACATACAGTACTACTGTATAGTTAAAAGAGCTCACCCTTCAAATCATACAATATTATAATTACCATTAGTAGCTTGTAAGTATTAGTATCCCTGATGCCACTGAACCAATTACCTCATCTATGTTTAGAACTTTGCCAAGTTTTTGTAAACATAACCTTGTATTTTCTTAAATTCTGGTGCACAAATGGCACTCTGGCAAGTCAGTAAAACACTAGACCACAAAATGTAAATAAAATCTATGAAGTGTTTGTGTATTTGCTTAAGACTACTTTAATCTACTGGACAGGTGTGCTTATTTATAGGAGTAGCTTATACTAGGGAATGGCGTTAGGCCAATGATGTGTTGAGAATTCAGCACATTGAGGAGATGTTGGGGCTAAAAAATGGGCAGAGAACCAGTGAAGGAGGGAAGCCTGAAGGGAGAAAGAGAAACATTAGTACACTGAGCAGGAGGAAGGCAGCAGGGTTTGTTTTTGAAGGTTGTGAGAGTGGTGTGATAAAAAAAAGTCACAGCAAAAATATACTGGTGTGGGCAGAAAAGCACCTGCTGCATAATAATGACATGAATAAAACATCCTTAAATTATGTGAACTAAAACCTCCACACCACAGTCCCAAAGTCCACAAATTGTAACACTTAAAATTAGGGCTTCACAGTACTGAATACCCATATTATGGGCAAAGTCTTGGCAGTGTCCAAATGAGTAAATACTGTTTGCTCATGTATATTTACCATATGCACTGTTTGGTTTAGAACTATTTTAACTGTAGGATGCATTATTTCTTAGTGATTTGTACTCTTCCTCTGGTTTTCTATAGTCTATTTGTATCACTCTATGACCCAGAGTCCTGGGTCACTCATCACACCTTTTATAAAAATACATGAATGATATTAAGATGCTTACTTGCCACCAAATACATTATGATTGTCTCTGGTTGACAAAGCAGCAAAGCCAGTAAGGTGGGATCTGCTGATTGTTCCATCTGCTCTCTCTCATCCCCTGTAGCCCATATAACTCCCACACAATCACATAACCCTGTGTCATAATCTACAGCACTGTAGCAGTTTAGTATGTTATCAGTTTAGCTTTTTCTCAACAACAAATCAATTATTTTTGAAATTGCATCCCATGTTAAGATTTTGCACTGGGTGGAAGGAACTGAAATCCTCCATCGTCATCAAGAAACTCTGAAGGTACATGAACATATTGACTATTGCCACGATCTGTTGTACAGTACTTTGTTTAGTATGGCATTACTGTTGCCTGCAGTGTGTCTCAATATCACATATTTACAATGAACAGCTGAGGCAGTCACAGAAGGACCGGTCCTGCTCCGGTGAATGGTGCATAGTGACGATGTCATCAGAGTTGGCGCAGTGGGTTGGCAATGACGATCTCTGCAGTGGGCTCCTAGGACACGCCTCTTTCTGCCTGTGGTGAGATGACCAAGATGTACTTAGATTTGGTTTATTGAGGGCAAACAAGTGTGAAGGTGTGTGTGCGTGTGTATGTGTGTGTGTGTGTGTGTGTGTGTGTGTATCACAATTGTTCGTTTGCTGTGTGTATCCATGCATTCCATCTGTTTCAGTATTATCTGTGTCTCTGTGCACAAATGTATACTTATGTGTGTGCACATGTATTTGTCTCTTATTGGCGCTGGTTTGGGTCCCGGAGCTGTGAAAGTGGTTGTAGTGTCAATAAAGGCTTCAGGTAATAGAATTGCCCAGAGTCTGAGAGACAGTCACTTCTCATAACAGTCAATCAGATCGAAGAACATGAGAGTAAAAATGAGGTGAGACACAGAGAGAAATAGAAAATAACAGTAGGAGGGAGGGAGAGGACAGAGGCAGGGTTCCTCCTGATATCAATAGCTTGTTTATAACACAGGACAATTAACATTGATCCATTCATCCATGTAACCAGTAACTGTCAATCAATGCTAAATTCTTTTCTGAAGTGTTACTCAGGCCTGGGTAACGATGTAATATTTATGTTGATCAACTTTTAGTTGAATCATATTGTGCTGATATGGGGAATAAGTAGTTGCATGCAATTAAATTCCAAAATAAATGTAATTGTAATCAATTACAGAGAAAGCATATGTAATTAGAATAGAGTCACTAATCAAAACGTTGGTGATTACAAAGGGGTTACATCTGCATATTCCTTTCTGTAAAAAGCTGTAGAATATAAGCTTTGCATCTTGTCGCCATGCAGGAATTTTTTAAGGCATATTTCACAGGGATCAGCAATACAGATAAGAAGGAGAAGATAGTCTGAAACAACTGAGGCAGAACAAGATGGGGGTTCCGTGCTTGTCCGGCCACTTTGAGACATGAACAAGGAAATGTGATGCAACCAATCACAACGTGTAGTTACATTTCTGGAGAGGTGCACATCAGGCCGTGGCACAGGCTACAGCAGAGGATACGAGGCTACACCGTGCCTATGCCATGGATTCAAAGCATGAATCAAGCTCAGGTCTGCCAAGGCAGGTGGTCATGTTGTTAGACAAGAATGACTTTCAGTGCTGGAAATTCAACAGTACTTTCCTTCTAAATTTAGAAAAGGGCTCTAAAATTACTGTGCAGTGTAAAGCTTGTTTACAAGCAAAGCAAATATGGCACATCAAAATGTGCAATGT